AACATGTGTTCATGCTCATGTACTTTTTTTTTTTAGTTGGCATTTAACTTATTTGAACTAAAGAAAAACGAAAACAGTTCACTCATTTCTCCCACCACCTTCCCCCCTCATCTGGCAACCAGCAATCTGTTCTCTGTATTTGAGCTGACTTTTGTTTTGAATTAGTTAATTTTTAGATTCCACATATAAGAGAGAACATGGTATTTGTCTTTTTCTGACTTATTTCACTTAGCATAATGTTGCCTTGATGTCCAGCCATGTTGTGGCAAATGGCAAGATTTCATTATTTTTTATGGCTGAATTATATTGTGTTGTACATATATGCAACAGTTGTTTTATCCATTCATCCATCTGAGGTTGTTTCCGTACCTTGGCTACTGCAAGTAAAGCTGCAGTGAACACGGAGGATGCAGATATCTTTCTAATTAATGTTTTCCTTTTCTTCAGTTAAATACCCAAAAGTAGTCTTGCTGGATTCTTAGTAGTTCTATTTTTAGTTTTTGTGGGAACCTCTGTACTGTTTTCCAGTTCACATTCCCACCGACAGTACACAAGGATTTCCTTTGACCACATCCTCTCCAGTACTTGTTATTTCTAGTCTTTTTGGTAATACCCATTTTAAGAGGTGTGAGGTGATCTCATAGTGGTTTTGATTTGCATTTCCCTGATGACAAGTGATGTGTCTTGCAACTTTTCATGTAACTGTTTACCATCTACATGTCTTCTTTGGACAGATGTCTATTTAGAGCTGCCCATTTTTCAATCACTTTGTTCGTTTTTTGCCTGTTGAGTTATGTGAGCTCTTTATATATTTTGGATGTTAATCTGTTATCAGATCTATGATTTGTAAATATTTTCTTCCATTCAGTAGGTGACTTTCTCATTTTGTTGATGGTTTCCTTTGCTATGTAGAACTTTTTAGTTTGATGTAATCCCACTTGTTTATTTTTGCTTTTGCTGCTTTTGCTTCTGGTGTCAGGTTTAAAAATCATCACCAAGACCAGTGTCTGGGGGCTTACCACCTATGTTTTCTTCTAGAAATTTTATGGTTTCACTTCTTTCTTTCAAGTCTTTAATCCATTTTGAGTTAATTTTTGTTTATGGTGCAAGAATGGTCCAGTTTCTTTCCTTCATTCCTTCCTTCCTTCTTTCCGCTTTTTTTTTCTTCTTTTCTTTATTTTTTGTAGCTATCTGATTCTCCCCACACCTTATTGAAGAGGCTTTTTCCTCATTGTATATTCTTGGCTCCTTTGCTGTACATTAATTGACAATATATCATGGGTTTATTTCTGGGCTCTCTATTCTCCAGTGACCTACGTGTCTGTTTTTCATTCTGGCTCCACACTGTTTTAATCACTGTGACTTTGTGTAGCTCTGCTTACGGCGCAGAGTACCACTTTGCATCCTTCATGTATTAAAGACACAGGGGAAAGTGATCTTTCTTGCATCTTGCTCTTACATGTTAAAACTATCTGTTTGAAAGTATCTTACATAGATCTGTAAGAAGTCAGTGCAGGCACACAATATGAGTCCCTTTTGACTTTTATAATAAGAGGATTGCACCTGGATGACAACATATATCAAATATGCACTTGTATTTAATGTTCTTATTATTAAAAGATAGGATAAAGTTTAGCTTTCCTTAAATATTTACCCCTGTGCTAGAAAATATCAGTGTAAGATGAGAGAATTAAGTATCAGTTGTATCATCTGTAAAATGATGGAGCAAATAATTAAGTTGCCTTGAAGCCCACAAGACCTGAACACAGGTAGCAGTAAACATCAAAAGATTCGTATTAGCCTTAGTTCAACTACCGTCTTAGTTTAACTATTTTACTACTCTTAACGTTCCCAAATTATGTAGCAGTAGGTGAATAAAGAATTGTTGCGATTTCTTTTCATTAACCAATTCAAAAGCATTTGTTTTTATTTATTTTTTTTTGGCAATTTGTGTGGCAAAGAGTATGTTCAATTTGTTAATCAGAGTGGTGCTTGGGAAAGAATAAACCACACACCACAGGGTCTGCCGCAGAGTATAGGCTAAGTAATAGTTTAATGAGAGGAGAGCGAGAGTGTGCTTTCACCGCTGATCACAGAATCTCTCTAAGGGCAGGCAGATCACAAGTTTCTCATCACACCAGGTGGATGGGACAGTGTTGAGTACTGAATGGTTTCTTGAAAGATGTAAGCTCTTTTATCCCTTGTCTCATCTCTAAAATGATGCTCATTTATCCCGTTTCTACTTTAAAATGATTTTATTATTCTTACTATTTTTAAATAACATACTTTCTAAAGTCAGAGTATAATGCAGAAACAAAAATACAGTGGTGAATATCAGATACTATCTATCTCTGGAAAGCAGCATTACCTGCAAGGCAAAAAAATTGTTTCCCTCTCAGTTGTGAATTCTTTTTGTGTATGTATGCGTGTGTGTGTATATACATATATGTGTATATACGTGTATGGGTATATACTACACACACACACACACATAGGAGTACAGTCAGTTTATAATGTGTCAGTTTCTGGTGTACAGCATAATGGTTCAGTCATACATGAACGTATGTATATTCATTTTCATATCTTTTTACCATAAGTTACTACAAGATGAATATAGTTCTCTGTGCTATACAATATGAACTTGTTGTTTATCAGTTTTATATATATTAGTATCTGCAAATCTCAAACTCCCAATTTAAAAATACGGAACGTTTCGTGAATTTGCACATCGTCCTCGTGCAGGGGCCATGCTAATCTTCTCTGTATCGTTCCAGTTTTAGTGTATGTGCTGCCAAAGCGAGCACTATTCATAGGTTTTATGTTTAAATGAATTCAGTGCTCACACTCAGTCCTTTCTTCATACATGCCCAAATTAGGTTCTTTATTTTAAATGATGCTTTAGTTGGTTAGATTTTATTTTCAAGAAGAACTCACAGGGGTGAGTTTTCTTAATACTGTTCATGTCTGAGAATGAAGGTTCTCAGCCTTTATACTTTCCCAACAACTTGGCTGGAATTAAGATTCTTGGGTCACTGTCTTTTTCTCAATTTTGGGGACAATTATCCTTTGTCTTTGAGGAGCTGAGCGTCACTAGAGAGAAAACTGAGCCATCCTGATTCTTCCCATTTGAAGATGACTTATCTTTTTTTGAAATTCGATAACTAGAATATGTCTAGATATCTAACTTTCTCTTGAAATTAACCTTGACATTCAGCAGTTAGAATGTGTTTTAGTGTCCAGCTTGCTGCTTCAGTTTTTCCTGGAACATAATGTAAAGAAACATTTAGCTCCTTATTTCAAGAAATGAGCTATACACCAATTGTCAATTCTTAATATAGTTTCTGAGAAATGGAATTGGGAGATTTTGAACAAAAACGTTAATAATTACCAATAAATGAATTTCTGGCCCAAACTCATTTGCTGTATTAGTTCAAATGCAAGATGAGGACAAAACTTAATATCTCACTTATTACTACTTTCCATGTGAGCTGTGTCAGGATGCCAGGCTCTCAGGACAGGTGATTTCTAAGTATACATTTATTTTTTCCTAATGATTGCTTATAAATCAAGACTTTAAAAGATCTAGGCAATTAAAATGGAAATATTTAGACCTAGTTATAGGCACAGGAACTTTTCCAGAATTCATTTTGAAATAGGTTATTCTAATTGATACTACTAATTATTTATAATGAATTTTTATCAAAATGTCCTTTTTATAGAATTCTTATAGAATTCTTTTTATGGAATGTTTACTTAGCACTGGTGTCTTTGGTAAAGGACAAGACGTGACTGAATTTCCAGTTTTCTGCAGGACTCTTAAGTTTTGATACATTAAAATTATGTAAGTGAACATTCAGTAAAATAAAAGTTAGGCTCCTTTTCTTTAGCAAATCAGAGAGTTTTAAAATTTTTTTCTTCAAAAATTTGAAATTTGAAATACTGAACATGTATTTTTTTGGCTCCCTAATCCAGCCACCTTTAAGACACATCTTTTTCCCCCTTCTACCCTAAAGCCATTTTTTTTTTTTTTTGGCAACTACTTTTTATGATTGTAGAACATTGGCCCCTCTTGGTACTGTTTTGTCTGAACAATCAGCGCATTTTTGTCTGTGTGTTCAGGAGTCAGACGGCCAAGGCTGCCCCTTCTGTCGCTGTGAAATAAAAGGAACGGAGCCCATAATCGTGGACCCCTTTGATCCGAGAGATGAAGGTTCCAGATGCTGCAGCATCATCGATCCCTTTGGAATGCCGATGCTGGACTTGGATGACGACGATGACCGAGAGGAGTCCTTGATGATGAATCGGTTGGCAAATGTTCGAAAGGTAAAACTAGAAAACACAGGCTTTTGGGGGGTGGTGTGTGGGCCTGAAAAAGAAATGATGCTGTCACAAGTGGGGTTTGACTGAGTGCACTTGAGTTTGAGAAAGATTCCAGAATCAAAAGAAAGGTGAAGATATAAGTAATGTTGGAAGGCTGATGGAATCACAGGCTGAGAAAGAACTAGATTATTCAAGGTACTCTTCCTGCTTTTAAACTTCAAAATGAGAGATGGGGAGAGCATTGGTGCAGAATTGAATATCCTCTGAGATTGGCAATAGCACGTCGACGAAGAAAAATTTAAGAAAGGAAATTATTCAGATTGGAAAGGATGAAAGTGATTAAAAATAGTCTTTGTTGAAGTCTAAAAGCGTCTGGGAGTTTTCTCAGCCGGAAAACCAGCCTTCTGTTTGGCTACTAAGAGGGC